TGCAGATTCCACCCTGAGCAACCTGGTCTGCCTTTGGAAATGAGGCTGACTTACAGCAGAGCACTTGGACCACATGACTCCAGAGGTTCCTTCCAACATAAAGTACTCTACATGCTCTTCTTTCCAACACTCTAGCTTTGGGACCAGCCTCCTGGAGGCCAGTTTCCACTTTGTGTGTACATAATCTTGATTTATCCTAAAGCACATTTAAAACTGATGTTCACATTGCTCTGAGCCTTCACAATGGGAACATGGGGTTCTCCGTCTGGGTTAGTAACAACCACAACTCATAACCTCCTGGTGTCTCTTCCTTGCCCTGAGTGGAATGAATTGGAAATGTCCCCCTGTTTCTTAGCAGACAGGAGGGTTTAGACTCTTACCCTGTGACTTTTCACACGCTTTCAATTAAATGAACAGGGAGACTGAACTACCTCATCGTTCCTGGAGCTGACAATTTCAAAGCTGAGTTCTGAGTCACAGTGATAGGAGTGGTGCAAAGGAGCCTTCCTCTCTCCCCACACTGACTCATCAGGGCTTTCATTTTCCACTCCAGTCAGGAAGCCAACACATTCTATGACAATTAAATGTATCCTAACAAGACTGTGAAAGCTTAATTAAGCTCTGAGCTGTGCCTGAGCAGTGAACTTACATGATGTGAACCCTGACATGGATGCATGTCAGTCTGTAACTGAAATCAGCTTCCATTTATTTCTTGGTATTGGTGATGACTCCTAGAAGGAAAGAAAGCCCTGAATTTTTCCTCAAAATTTTTTTAATGCTAGCTTGCACTGCTTAACTGCATTTTGTTATGTGACAGGCTCAATCACACTATAGCTGGGATTTTTTATTTTGAAGTAACATTCAGATTAGCATGTTGCATTCCTGTAGTCATTCTAATTGCTGAAAACAGGTGTTGGTATGCTAGGATGAACTGAGCCACTTAAAATGGATTTTTACCATAGTTATATTTTACCATAAATTAGTACTTTCATTGTCAACAGTAAAAGTTGAGAATCATGGTTTGTGACTGATACCTTCCATGACTTGGAAGTCATTTTACCTTTCAGTATCTTTGTTTTTCAAGACTCAAAAGGAAGGAATGATGCTTATCTTTCCAAGTAGTTTTATTGTTTTGTGAACCCAAAAAAGGAAAAAAAAATTTAAAAAGCCCACTCCAAACTTTTATACCAGAGCTTGTTTTTAACTAGTAGCACTTCAAAAATTTCTGCTAAGAATAATTTGTTCCAAGACAAACTGAAATACACAAGTGTGACTTTATACACAAAATTAGTAAAGAAACACTTTCATCAGTAAAGAAAAAGGAATTACATTTGAGTTACAATTTGATTAAAAAGGTTCTCTAAACAATTTGATTAAAAATGTCCTCTAAACATAGGGCTGTCTTCACAGTCACTTCAGAAATTTCTTTTAAATGTTATTCCAATACTAAGCATTGCTCAGATATTTAACATTTGTGGAAAATCTAATATCACAAGATCTATGACAACCCTGCAACAGGTGTATGAAAACCCTGCCTTTAATTTGTGTAAAGTAGGACCTTTGGAATAATCACCACCAGGAGCAAGATCTGGTATCTGTGAAACACAAGCAACATAATTAGGAGATTAAAAACTCCTCTTTTTGAGGTTTGGCCTGTCTTGAAGTGAAATTAGTGAAATTTAATAAACTAAAAGAATGTCTTGGACACTTCCAGGTGTTAACAAATGTCTAGAGTTAATAGATTTGAGTGAGCTCTAAGGGTTGGTTTACCTTTCTTGTCCACTCCAGGATGCCAAAACTGCCATAGCAGGCTTTTAGTGCATAGAGAGAAACTTGCTCATCCTTCTTTAAAGCAATAATATTTTATATTTGTAGCATTACCCTAGTGAAACTTTAAAATGAAATGACATAGAATACAAATAACACCCGAATTTCTTTAATATCCCAAATCATGAATAGAAGCATGTCTAGACTCAAATACAAACCACCTTTTATAACAAAATTCAAATCCTCCTCTGTTCCCTGCCAAACGCTGAGTTCAGTCCCTGAGGGCCTGAGCAGGGTTTCCTTGGCTACAGCAGCTGGCATCAGGAGGGCAGGGAGTGCCGCTCCTGGCCGTGGTGTGCTGGCTGATTTCATCAGCTAACACAGGTCTTGACAGGTGCCTTTCACTTCACTTTGAGCACCATAAAACCTTTGCTGCATGATTTGGGAGGTTGGGAACTAACTTCTTGATCCAGGAAGGGCTGGGATCAGGGATCCTAATTGTAATCCTCCAGATGTCTCAGTAATCTTTCAATGTATTTCTTCTAAACATAGAAATGACATTTGTTCTGAAATGAGTTCTTGGTGCATGCTGAATTTGCCAGACATTTCACTTTGAGACAAAGATATGACAAATGTGCTTCCTAGCATTTTCATCCTTATTTATTCTTCCTCACAAAGGAGAACTTCATAAAGAGTTTGAATCAGATCCATGTTCACACTTTACATATGCAACATTTTTATGGCTGACAAAGCTGGCTTCTCAGGCAAACTAACATGGAAACAGTCAAACTAGAGAAGGGCATGCTGAAACCCCTTTTCTTCAAAGGCTATTTTTTCCAACTAATCATCATTATTATTACGAATAGATATTTACCCTTAGGTCCATTGGGCAGATCATTCTGACTCATCCATTTAATGGTTGTTGTCCTCTTGGGCTGATGATAATAATTTTTGTATGAAAGCTTTGCTAATTCCTATAAATACATAGGATAGCCATTTTGGTACTTACCAGGTGACATCAATGCTGACATAACCTTTCTAGTATTGTTGGCTGTAGCTTGTGTCATGACACTGGTGTGAATTATGGCTGTCTTGAGGAGGCAAACCTTCATAAAACACAGATGGTCTGTAGGAAAAATATTGTAATGACGGTCTGCACATCACACATTCAGTCTTCCCTTGCAGACTCTTTCCTTTTTCATTGCCTCATAGTCTTAGGTACCTTTTCATCAAGCATCTAAGACATAATTTTTTGTACAGACTATATTATAGAATAAAGATTGTTACATGCAATTCTGGAAAATACCTCTGGTACCAGCATTATCACAGCTTCTCATTGGCCTCCCCCAGACTTCCTTAGAAGTGTATCACCATTACTTCCAGACAGCTGATTTTTTTTTTACTACTTCTTTCAAAGAACGATGAAAGCTGTGTAAGCTCATTAGCAGAGCATGTGTGTAGGCTTAAAATTGCAGATAATAGACATATGGTTGGAAAGTCAGTAATTCCTTTATGTATTTGCCAAGACTTAGGTCAAGGTTCAGGGTTTCCTTTGCTCAAACTGGTGAAATCAGAAATACCTCTGTATTCTGGGGAGGGCATACACTGCACATGCAAGACAGGTGATGAGGCACAGTTATCTCAGTTGCCTTCTGCAAGAGCAAGCCATGTTTATTCTAAAATGCACCCAATTGTGATATGCTTTTCTTTTTGCACTACTTTTGTATAAGTCAATCCTTTTACTAATAGTTCTTTGTGTTTTCTATGCACTCTCATAATCTGTTATTCGTAACATTACAGTAAATTCATTGTAATAAATTTTGATGTCACAACCCTGGCTTTTCACATCAGTGAGATTAACAGTTAATGTATTGGAAAATATTTGTGTGCTTAAAAGTAATCATCATAAAAAATAAATTACCTCCTTCCCACTCAAGAAGCACAGTCCTCGCATGTCACATCAGTATTTGTAAAACAATTTCATAAAAAGTGAAGTGACATAAATGTGTGTAAGTAGTCAGATATTTTACAGAAAAATTCATCAAAAGGATGATTTTTGCCCAGGTTCACCAGCTGTTTTGTCATGATCATGGTTCTTCAGTTTTTGCTGGTAACAAAGCCACAAGCCTTAAATCCAGATCTTTGGGCTTAGATCTAGGAGAGAATGTGAGGATTGGTGCAGTTGTACATCTACATGGCATCAGCCTGGGGATCTAGAAGCAACAGTGAGGGCAAAATCTACCCTTGCCTTTGTGTTTGCCCTGTTACAAATGTGAAAGGCCAGCTCTGTCAGAGAAGTTGCACTGTCCTGACAAATGGGTCTTTCTCTGGCTGACTGAGAGTGCCACTGATTGTTTGAGATGTTAACATGGGCACATTGTCACCACTGCCCAGAGTGAGGCCACTGGCTGCTTGCATGTGGACTACCCTACAGCAGTGACAGCTCCCCACTACACCAAACATGGGCTGAGTACATTTTGCTCCTTCCAAATTATTTTTTTATACATGTCTTGGAATATGTAGTCAGGTACTTTTCAGAATATTGTTTTAAAACCAAATGAAAAATATTTTCCTCCTTTAAATCTCTCAGCAACTTTGTAGGTGAAAATATTTCTTATTGTTCTTATTTTGTTGTCACAGTTATTCACACTGATTTTTAAAGAATTATGGTCTGTGTATATGAATGTGTGTCACCCTTGCTAGTCCGCATTAGAGAAAGCAGCAGTAAATGTTACTGTATCTGGGGACTGCAATAATTTATCCTTTTGTATTGACTTAATTTTACACATTTTTCAGGAAGCTGAAATTGAATGATGTTATACTCCATGTTATACTCCAAAAATCTCTCGGCCAGGTTCCCTCTATCAGGAACAACATAAGTGTGTGACTATGATGACTAAAGAGGAGCAATCCCAAACTAATACCTATTCAAGATTTCAAACCATAACAAGTCTAGATTAAGTTACTTTTTTAGAAAAGTGCTTATGTATCTGGCAGTAGAATTTTGTCTTAATTAAGCAGTATTAAAGATAAAGAAGTAATGGTTTTATAGATAGACTGTGAAAGAGAGAATCCTTATTCATCTTATATAAGAATGTGTTTATTTACATTATTTTTATTTTCATCACAATTGACCAGCAATAGCAATTTTCTGTCGTTATTTTGAAGTGTAAGACAAAATTCAATATAACTCTTTCCTTTTTCTTTTTCTTTTTTTTTCTTTTATTAACCAGTTAATTTAGGTGATGGGATAGAATACAGCCAACAGAAGCGTGAAAATATTGGAGTTCTCATCCAAGAGACACTGCAACTCCTTGAACACTACGGTGGAGAAAATGCTTATATAAATATTAAATACATGATCCCCACTTATACGTCGTGCAAATAAACTGAGTTATAATAAATGGGATGATTCCATCTGTGCTCTAAAAAAACTGTATCTGACTCTGTATGGCATCTTGTTAGTCATGCTTTATCTTCTCTACAGCTGCTAAAATAGTGGCTTCTGGGGCATTGGAGTGTTAGCACTATTGTGAACAAGGCTTTCCAATAAATAAATAGTGTCTGTTCCTTTGATTACAATGGTGTACTGTGCTTGTTTGTTCCCTGAAAGAATCACTCCTTTATAACAGAGCTGACTCGAACAGGAATCTGAGTTAAACCTTCACTTGTGTAGACAATAAAACTATAATTTTCATACGCGATTCAGCAATCGCTGTTCTGTGTCCGCTTGCCCTGAGGGTGATGTCAGAGGCTGTAACAAGCAGAGTTTATGCTGACTGCTTAATAGGTGTTTGTCATGGAAGAGAAACACCAGTTCAGCAATGCCTCTCTGGCAGCTGTGCCGAATAACGTGCACTGACATACAATAAAACTGTTGAATGTATATACCAATTGCAGCAGGAAAATTTATATTTTCCATTATAAGGCACTGTCATTAAATTAATCCAGGTTTCTTACACACTCCTGTTTTCAGCTTCCAGGTGTTTACTCATGGAACTTGGATTGCTTCTTGGTGAACATAAGGCACAAGTACAGTTTTGAAGAACAGAAGCCCAGAAAAAACTCGAATAACTCAGATGGAAGATACAGCATATGTAAAGTATCAGCCCCGAGTGACACTGTTAATCTGGATAAACGCAGAATGTACAAGTACATTTTTAAAGGGCACTTGGTATTTTTGTAATTGCAAGGTTGTTATTGCTTTTCTGTTATTATTATGGTGTGTATGTGTGCAAACAATGTAACTATTGTTATAGGAATCCCTTACAATTTCCTACTCAGTTAGTTTCTCCCTGTGTACCCATAACACAGAACTGATATAGTCATTAATTTAAGCAAAGCTATTGAGATTGACTTTATTGCTTTTTAAGCATTTCTATTGAATAAACCTACAAGAAAAAAAAAAAAAATAAAACCGGTCTTACAATTCTCAAAGACAACCATTTAAAATTATTGAGTCAGCTCAAAACAAACCAGAGATATTAACTTTGCCTAAAAGCATGAGATTTTTTTAAGTACTTTGAAAAACTTTGGGCTCATCTGGTTTTTATTAGGTTTTCTGGAGCTCTTCAAATGTATGCGAGTTGCACTTTCAAGTGTTTCAGTGTAACCGTTAAGAGTCTGAAATGCACTCTTTGGTGTTAAACACATGAGACTTTTTCAAGTGCTTATCCATATCCATATCCATATCCATATCCATATCCATATCCATATCCATATCCATATTCACACCTTGCAAGGCTTGCCCGAGTGAGAGACAAAGCCCCTATGCTGCCCTGTTCTCTTGGATGCCTGCTGGAAGTGTGGGGAGCACCTTCCCACCTGCTGGAACCTTGAGCCATATCTGTCATTAGATTGACATTAGAACTTGCATTTTCTGTGGCATTTTAAGCCTGAGGATTTTCTTTTATTTTCTTCTCTTTCCTGTAAATACAAAAAAAAAATAATAGTTAAGAAGATCGTTACTCTTCCCACATCTTTGAGGAGCTGCACCTTCAAGTGATGTCATCAGCCATGAGCACACACCAGCCCCTGGTTTAGGCACAGCTGCTGAAGGTGTGCCTTTCTCGAGGCCCCAGAGGCATTTCTTTTCTGTTTGGGGTTTTTGGGTATTTTTTTTGTTCTTCTTGAGTTTTGTTTTACACAATTTTTCCAGAGCTACCCTCAAGTCCCTAGAGTTGAGACAAGGTCTGTCCTGTGTCCAACATACACCTGTGATGGGTAAGTACAACCAAGACTCAGCCTCATGTCTAGGGTATCGACAAGTCTTTCACCTTCCAGGCAGAAAGGGAGGTGAAGTATGGCTGTAGGCCCATGCCTCTGGAAACTCCAGAACTTTGTCTTCAAACCTTGCAGCACAGAGCCTAGCTGGATAATGCAGGGGGGCACAGGCCATGTCTTCTCTTCCAAAAATGCCTTTCTACACAGCCACCCTGGCAGCACCCACACAGCCTTCGCTGACAGCTTCTCCCCATTTGCCTTGCATTGTCCCTGGCACCAATGAGCCATACTTTTTCATTGACTGACATCTATGGATTTGGTAACTATGGCATTGCAGGTTTCCCATGAGTACAGACTGTGCTGGAAAACTGCAGCTCAGAGGGAGCTGAGTTATTCAGCTCAGAAATAAACCAAGCCCTTCACAGAAGGAGAATTCCCAGGCCACCTTTCACTCCTCAGCTATTTGTATTCTTTCCTTAACAGAAAGTCCAGTACTGCTCTTTGCCTGAGATCAAAAAGCTCCTCAATAGCTGGCTTCAGTTTCCCTGACCCTGGGCTCCAGCCACAGAGCCACATGCAGAGGAAAAGGCTCTCAGCCCTGGGTTTTCCCCATCCCGTCACCCCTCTGCACTCCCAACATCTCTGCCAGAATTTCAGGCTCCTCACCAGCCTTTGTAATTCTTTATCCCAGCCCTCTCTTTTTGCATGCCCTCCCCTTCAGCTCAACCAGGACAAGACTGCTGACTGACAAAGAGACACGCTGGAAAATGGGTGAAAACTTTGTGAAGCTGCGGACTTGCCTGGGTCTGATGCCCTCAGCCTCGTGCTCTTTCTTGAAGATTTCTTTCACAAGACATAGGTTCAACAAGGGGTGGCCTTTTGGCAAACCATAAGGGTAATACAGGTCATGCATATTCACATCAGGAAAAATAAGTTTTATAGAAAAGTGCTTTTATTTACATGTTCAAGATGAGAACATCAGCCTCCATCAATACTATTCCTATGTCAGGTCCATTGATTTAAAAGTACACATTCTCCCACAACCTTATTATTTCTAGGAGCTGGATGATAAAAAGCATGATAAACCCCACAGGTTGGTAATTTAGAAATACTAAGAATAAAATTATTTTAAGATGTAATTTTACTAAGTCAAACTCTAGGCCTTACAACCTTGACAATGTCCCTTTAAGCATGATCAGCAGCATATTTATAGGCAATTACTGCACAGCTCAGAACACTTTATAAAGCACAAGACCAAGGACTCAGGTGCTTAAGTATACAAGTAATGATATGCCATTCAATACACTGCTTAGCTGTCTTACTATGCTGAAAAAAATATGGTTAAGAAATAGTAACTGCCTCTTGTTTGACCAGATCATGTAATTGTGCTCACTGATGTTCAGGGCAAGCCAATCAACAATTTTTAATTGTAATCAACTAAAAAAGGTACTCTGGGCCAGGTGTTTCCAGGAGTATAAATTAAGTGTCAAGGCATTGAGCCTAATTTGACTTAACAGAAGAAGTGTGCTTTGTGCCTTACTCTGGGGTCTTCTGCTGCCTTCTAACTCTCCACTGCTGGTAAGTTAAGGAGCACCAGTGAATGAATGTGCGGGAAGTTGAGTTGTAACTGCTGGTTTTCTGAAACTACCTGTTTGAAATATCTCCAGTCTATCTTAATAATTGTCCTAGGTTGGCTGGCAACTCTTTAGCTTGAAGAAGAAAAAACCAGGTGGTAACAGGATGGGGGGGGGGGGGGGAGGGGGGGGGAAATGGCTACCTTTGTCATGCATGATCATGAAAACGAGCATAAAATAAATTATTTTTTATGATTCCTCCTCAAAGCTGTGTAAGGGATCTCTGTAACAGGTGTCAGAGTTTAGGGAACTCTGGCACTTTGTAAATGCTGGCAAATGCTGCAGAGCAGTCACTGTGCAAGCTATTGATCCACTGAACACTCCGATTTGCCCATGGGAAGGTGAGCAGGGGTGGCTGGGGCTCCTGCCCAGCTTGGGCTGAGCTCCCCTGGGCTCCTGCAGAGGGGCAGAGCCAGGCAGAGGACGGAGCGAGACACTGCCAGCACTGGTGACAGGGAGCTGAAGCCAGGCTTCTTGCTGGTAGCTTTCCAGTGTTTCAAAGAGATGGAGCTGCCAAAAAATTTGAAAAGAGCCTCCCAGTAGTCAAATACAAAAGGGCTGTGGGAAGTTGTAAGTGGGAGGGAAGGTAGGGGACCCTAGCTGGGAGGTGTTTGCGCGTGGGGTGCAGGGAAGTGTAGCTGCAGCCAAGCAGGACAAAAATAAGACGTTTGAGCAGACACTATGTGCTTTCCTAATCCTGTCTGGAGACCCTCTGACTTCCAGAAGAGCATTCTCCAGTCTGAGGGGCTCTGCAGGCAGTGGGGCACATCACATTTTTCCACTCATCTGTAACATCCTGTGTTTTCTGCCTTAAATAAAAGCAGTGATGTTTGTGGGAACTCCATATAAAGCCTGTCTGCTTGCAACCTCTCAGAGCTGCTTTGTGCCTCCTGGAGACTGGGAAAGGAAGGTTTATGCCCTGGCAGGACAAGAAGTTCCCTGCACTGGCCCCATAATCCTTCCGGCATGTGAGGGGAGGGAAGGGGAGTGTGTGTGCTGGGGCATATCTTAGCTGTTCTTGTTCTTGCCTAGCAAATTCAGCCTGGGTATGGTTGTGGGGCTCCTTGCTGAGAGCTTTCCCATCCTTGGATAGTGCATCGTGGCTTCTGGTGAGATGGATGAAAGCCTATTTGAGCAGAGACAGCAAACTGCAGCCTCAGGGAGGAAAAAGTACGTTTCTTGCAGAGTTGGGAGTCAGCTTTGTGCTTCATGCCCCATTTGTGATGCCACAAATCAACAAATACTTTATTATTTTACTAATGTCACTCAGGAGGGAGTTGAGCAGCTCTTGCAAACCCCAGCTCACAACCCCCTGTGCTCTCGCTGCGTGTGCAGCAGGACAGGGTCACTGTGCTCAAGAGTAAGTGACACTGCTTCCCTCTCTGGGCTTCCCCATCAGCAGCCACCCTGCTATGGTACTTTCCAATCAGGAATGTGCCCTGAGTCTTATTCCTCAAGGGAGAGAGATTTTTTTGTTTGGTTTTTTTTTTTGTTTGTTTGTTTGTTTGTTTTTTTTTTGTCCAACAGAGCCACTCACATAGAGCAAAAGCCTTAAGCTACAGAAGAATGGGCACCTTCAGGGAAGATGAGAGCACAGCCATGTTGGCACCAGGGACATTTCTGGGACCACGCTCTCTCTGCTGCTGCTGGTACCCATGCACAAGAGCCTTCTGCATTTGCTATGGTCTGATGACCCTGGCTGCTGGGGGCGTGAGGTGCGAGGGG